TGGGGAATATTAAATCGTGCATCCCAGGTTGATATCGAAAATTTCTCATAGATTCATTGTATCGATGTTTACTTGCTTTCTATTTTCTATATACTTGTGTATGTGTGTGCGTGTGGGTGTGTGTGTTGTTTCATCGAGTTTATTCTAAACACATGTAAATATATCATTTATTATCCCTCTCCCCCCATCGACAATGTTGGTTTTGTTTTGGGCCAATTAACTATATTTATTTTTAATTCGATTTTATGTGAATAGCAATATAAACTAATTAATAATATTCTAAAGACTTTAATGAGTATTAGTGAATTTTATTTTTGATTTGATTTTTTTAAATAACGATTACATTGATAAAAAGCTCAAGCACGGAGACGTTAGTAAAATTCAATTTTTGCCGAGAAATGGTTATTATTATTATTAATTCGTATAAAATTTCATGAATATATTGCATAGAAAATTTTCGATGAATTACAAACGATTTAATTTTTTTCTACAGATTATTCTTTATAATATTGTTATACATATATATTTATATATATTAACAAAGTTTTCAATAATAAAATGTTTGTTGTATCGTTTTAAAAAAAAAAGAAAAAGAAAAATATATATGTACATTTGTAAAAAATAAATTGAAATAAGCCCAAAGCGTCGTTCTAATAAAAAAAAATTTGAAAAAAAGGATTTGCATTGTGGGGCAAGGATGGAAATTCGCAGTTTGAGAAAAAAAATAATAAAAAAAAAAATAAAAGGATAGAAAAGCAAAAACAAACGGAAAATACAATAGTGTTAGCGTGAAAAATTCAATGGTTTCTATTTTTTTCTTTTTTTTTTCGAATGGTCGAACACGCAACGTCTGTTCAGTCTTTTTAGAAAAATAATTTTTTTTCTCTTTTTTTTTTATATACATATATACTAATATACGTGTATATATAATTTGCACGCGTACACGTTCACGCGTACAGATTCAATTCTTAATTTATTTTTTATACGTAGTTCTTTTTATACAAATTTTTATCACATCGACAACGACTCGTATCTTGCAGAAAGTACGAAAGGTGTTATTGAGAAAATTTTGAAATTAGTATAGTAATTAGAAATGAATGGTTATCAATTTTTCCTACGAATCCAAATGTTCGAAAAAATGAATACTTACTTTATTTAAAATTTATTTATAAAAGAAGAAAAAATCATCCACTATGTAGGTTTGGAAGATTTGTAAGGCAGGTTAGATATTTTTGTTATAATTCAAAATGATTCAAAATGGCGACTCATAAAGTAGCCATTTTGAAAAATGAACGAGCAACGCGTCTGTTTTTTGGGTGGACGTTAAATACGTGTGTGTAAGTATTTACTTATACACGTAGGATATTGAAAAGAAATTTATCGTTCAATTCAATGAACTCGCACGAGTAATTACGAGGCGACGAGGTGCGAAACAATCACCTACGTAAAAGTAACGCTTGTATAAAATTTCTCAACCCGTTGAGTTAGTTCATCTATTCGTTCGTTCGTTGGTTGGTTCGTTTCGTACCGTTCCGTTCCGTTCGTTTCGTTTCACGCTCGACCGATACTCGATTGTCATCGTGGTTTTATCAAATAGGAAAAGCGTTCTGTATTCTCTTTTAATGGAACACACACATACATACGCATATGCATAAGCGAATAAATAGATTGGTATTTCCTTTTGTATTCAATGCGTTTTTGAACCTATGAATATTTATTATTACTATTCTCTTTTTAGCGAATACTTAATTTCATAAATATTTTTTGTACATTTTTATTCAACAACAACACAAAAACGATAAAAGAAAGATGAACAAGTTGAATTATTTGACAATTACGGAATATACTAATTTTTATTATTATTATTATTATTATTATTATTATTATTATTTTCATTAATTTATCGCGTCGCAATATTTTATTCGACAAATAACAAAATATTACATTTACCCTTATGTATGTACAAATAAACGCGTGATTTATGTTACAAAAATGTATGAAAGATAAACTGACAATGAGTAATAATACTTTATCGTATTTTCATATTAATTTATTTCTTTTTTGGTTTCTTTTTTTTTATGTCGAATAGAAAATTCACACACACACAAGCATATTTTATTTTACAAAATATTCACAAGTACCATTTTCGATGGGTACACATGATATTGGCGATGTAACTTTATTGTTAATCAAATGCAATTTGAAAAGGGGAAAAAATACAAGAGAAAGAGAGAGAGTAATAATTTCTATTTTTTTAACGCGAAATAAAACTCAATTTTGTTCTATACACAAGAAATGAACTTTAACGCTAAAAATACTACTACAAAAGAATAAAAAAATAAAAAACAAACAAAATGCTATCAATTAATGGCAAACCAAAAAATTACTGTCTCGTCAATCGAATACTAACGATAAACAAACAAAATTAATGACAGTATTACAAATTATGGTTGGTAAAATTAATCGATGATGAACGTGATGGTTTCACTAATGATCAGATTTAGGTGAAAAAAGAGAAAAAAAAAAATAGTATAATCAGAAAAATAATCACTTGTTAGTACACCGAGAGGTGTCATTATTTCGTGCAAGAACAATTTCTGTAATAAGAGCAAGAAAAAGATAGATAAATAGATATATATGGATAGATAAATAGATAGATAAGAAAATCGTTCGATCAGTTCCTCTCGAACTCCATTCGATTATCCTTTGATAAAGTCCTTGATAAAGTCGATCCAAAACCCAGACACTCACTTTACTTTCGACGCTGATTAATGCGAGCTTGGTTCTATCCACCGAAAACCCAATGAATTATCTTGGAAACAAAGATTTTCAAGGAAAACCTCCGAACTAACCAACTCGCCACATCCTTTCCTTCGCCCCCCCCCCCGGTTTATCTCCCCCTTTCTTCTTCTTCTTCTTCTTCTTCTTCTTCCTCCTTCTACTTTGCCACCGAACCACGAAAATGCTAATCTACAAGATTATTAATCGTACTTTACTTTCTTAACTATTTGCCATTTATCCTTAGAAAAAATTTATTTATCATATTATCGATTGTAATTGCATAGAAAGAAAATGTTATAAATTTTATATCATATCGGATAAAAAATAAATGCCCATAGATTTTTTTTCTCGTATTTAATGTATTATTTTTTTTCTACGAAAAAATTAATTTTAAATATATTATAATATATAATAATTTAATATGTATAATATTTTACATTTAAATTTTATAAAATACACATAGTAATATTTAAATATAAAAAAAAAATATTGATATTATAATAATAACGAAAGGTGTCGATAATTATTTTATCGTATTAATAAATTTATTCGTCGTAGGTTTTGTTGTATCCCTTGTAACGAATTTTTTTTTCAAATTAACGCTATATAATTAACTAATTAAGGAGGAGACTACGGTAGACCCCTCTTCTATTTTTTTTTTTAAATTTTGCACACTTGTAGTAGTCCATGAGAATATTCATTGTGCTTTTAAACAAGGCGTATATAAAAAAAGAAAACAAGAAAAAGAAAACATTCGATGAAGTTTTTGGAGAAAAAAATAAGTAATTAAAATTGAAACGAATTTCCCCGTGTATCCTTTTGTAGTATGGTGGTGGTGGAACTTAAGAGAACTATCGTATGGGGTTTTGTGAGTGACATTGAAGAAATGACGTACGTGGTATATCAGTGTTTCACCGTCAAATCTGCAGGCTCGATTTTACCCGTTCCTATTGTTCCCCTTCGTCAAGTTGACAGAACATCCAGAATGATAACGCTCCTATCGCGAGAGCCGGAAATGCCGGTACACGTGGTTCTGATGCACACACACACACACAATGCATTTGGTTATCCTTTAGCCTCGTTAAACTTCAATCTAACATTCCTGTATCCTCTTCTTCCTTCATTCACATAATTAAACAAGGATATTATCATCGCGTAATATACGTAAGCAAATCTACTCGTTTACAAAATGATAATAATAATAATAATAATTATTATTATTAAAAATGACTCTACTGATAATGGTAATAAATAATAATGAAATAATGAAATTTAACAATTCCTCCTACCACACCCTTATTTCCCTCGTCCTTATCCTCGCATAGAGAATTTCCTAGTATTTCAAATTATCATCCTACATACGGATGTACGTTAAATAATGGTATTCATTTGTATATTCATCAATACCCTGGCTTCGTGTATGTTTATTTAAGTAATATACAGATCGAATTTATTTCAATAGTATATTTCATTTGGATATGTAAACCTTCCTTTATCCCGTATGTTGAATTTTCAATTGGAATATAATATTAGATAGACGTATTCCCCTCCCCCTCCCCTCTCCCGTCCACCCCTCATCGACTGTTTGCATTAACGATTAATATTCTCACATATTCGAGGATATAAAAGTAAATAACATATAACGAAAAAAAGAAAGAGAGAAAAAAAAAAGATAAAAAGGGTGTTTTTTTTTAACGTATGAAATAACAAATTGAATCTCTTGCGTTGGATATATTATTTAATTAAGAATTATTCAATCTTACTAATTAACTACAAATACTTGCTGACGTTTTTAAATTGAAAAAAAACAAGAAGAAAAAAGTTACACGAATTTACGTATCTCCTCCTTACTATTATTATTATACGTCCAATTTATTTCTCCCCCTCACATTCTCCCCCTGAATTAATAATGAGAGAGAGAGAGAGAGAGAGAGAAGAAAAAACGAACATATTTACATTTGTACCAAATTCGTAAGATCCAAACTTCATTACTGAATTTTCTATAAAGGATGGGTAAAAAATTGTGGAATATTGTTTAAAAAAAAAAAAAATCACATCAACCCATTTCGAAATTTATTTCAAAACGCATTTAATTATACGTTTGCAAAAAGAAGAAAATTAATTCAAGAAAAGAAAATAAATAATAATAAAACCGATTAATTTTTATTTAATTAAACCGATTAAAGTTTACCGATAAAATTGTTTTATATTTGTTGCAGGTTCTCAAGGACTCGTGAAGCAATCCTGATAATCTTTTTACTCGTCGCATCTACTGGTGAGCACATAACGAATATCTAATAATTGAATTTTTTTCTAATGAACAGTTGAAATGAAAACAAAAAAATTTTTTAATGAAAAGTTGAATGGTTTTAAAGGGGGGACACATAATTTGAATATTATTAGTTTTTTTTTTTTAAGAAGAGGAAGTAAATACTATGATTGATCAATATTAAAGAGTAAAAATATTTCAAAAACTAATGATTTTTTTCGTCACAAGTAATTTAACACTTTTGCGTAGGTAATAATAAAAAATAATATAATTTAATAAAATAATATAATATATATAATAAAATATAATATAATAATAATAGAAAGAGTCTTACATATACATAGACCGATGCATTGAAAAATATATGATTACGTTTATAAACAAAAAATCAGGAACTAATCTTTGTGTGACCTTTTATGCATCCAATTAATAATATCGGATAATGATATTATCCCATTGCCCCCCCCCCCTCCATTAATCCGTTCTACATTTATCGACTAACACATTTTTGGTTTCTTACCATCAAAACAGTTTTGAAAATATTTAAAACGAATCGATTTTAAATGGAGACATACACTCTGTATAACGATTACAGTGACACAAAATGTCAATGATAAATTCGATATATATCCCTTTATTCTTCTATTCTCATGTTGGAATAGAGAATAAGATCGAAATGTCGTGTGTTTCTGTCCCTTTTTTCGGTTGGATTCAAACGATCGGAAAGTAGAAAACGTTTAAATATTTTCTCGTTTTACGTTGAACGAACTGAGACAACTGAATAAAATGGCTCGAACAATCCAACCATCGATAGTCTTTCTATCTTTCTTCTCTGTGAATCTGTAAAAGATAAAGAGAGTTTAGATAGATAGATAGATAGATAGAGAATAAGAAAAGTAGAGATAGAAAAAAGGAAAACCTAGAAAAATAGTAAAAAAACGTTTTCCTCTTTTTGCGTATGAAGGAAACAGAAGGCTTCTACTACTGAAACATCTTTTTCACTTTTGCACGATTTTTATTAATTTTAATCTTTGTTTTTTTTTATTTTAAGATTATATTCTTTTTATTTTACTATTTTTTGGAATGATAAAATGTTTGAATATAAAAAGGAGAGAAACTTATAGGATGATTCACGCGTTATTTGCGCTGCATATCATATAAAATAATAATAATAATTAATAATCAATATTCTTGTCCCAACAGTATATTAATATATATGAGTTTCAAAGGGAAAATTGAAGACAGTTAATAAATTTTGATGAACAAATTTATTTGATCTTGTTGAACGTTTCGTCCCTTACTGGGG